GATTGTGGTTTTTATTTTGCTGTTTATAATGCAAATTTTAACTTTTTGTAATAGGATTTTCCATTGTCTTTATTATCTTATTTAGCTCCTTTTATTTCTACCTTTCAGCTATAAACTTTATTATTTCAGTCTGTTTCTTATTTTATTTTGTTATCTTAGTTTCTGGCATCCGTATTTTTTTTGTATTTTATTTATGTAACAGTGAAGGTGCTTTCTGAATTATTTTTCAGAGCGCTTTGGTCTCTGTATTTTTTGCCAGCAAGTATTTTACAGGATTTTATATCTTCTGTTTAATCAAACCTTTGCTTTTAAACTCACTGTGGATAGATTCTCCTTGTTCTGCTATTTTCCTTAATCCTGTTAGAATCATTCCCTTACGTGATGATTGGAGGGCTGTTGTACGTGATATGAGCCAACTTCCTGGTATTCTTGAAACTTTCATTTAGTGGACCTAAAGCCTGCATTGATTTCTCCTGGTTTTGCTGTTTGGTATGGTCCTGGGAGAAGCAGGGTTTATTCCTGGATAATCTGAAGCTGTGGTTCCTCCCTTGTCTCTCTCGTGTGTCTTCTAGGACTCTCCTTTGGAATTCACTTGCCTTGATATAAAAGGACACCCCTCCACTTCTGCTCCACAGTCTAATTTCATTGCCTGGATTATAATCTCATGACAGCTCTGGGTGCTCCAGAACGTACCTCTCAATAGTGTATGTACTAGAGTGTGGTCGGGGGTGGGGGTGCAGCAGCGTCTTTCCCAACACTACCTGGTGGCTTAGGCTATGTTTTTGGTGGGCAGAGGGCCACTACCTATCACATTGTTTCCCTAACTGGGTTTTCCCCAGGCCTTCATCTGAGCTTTGCCTAGTGGGTATTCTGGTGGCAGGAGAATATTGACTGAGAGTCTAATTTTCTGTACTGTTACAAATTTGTGTTCCTTTTTTGTGTGTTTTTACTGTGATGGGAAAGGACTGCAAATTCAGCATCACTGTTTTCCTTGTCACCTTTTCCCTTTCCCCGCTTTTTAAACCATATTTAAAGCAAACTTAGTAAAACAGGGAACACAACGAAGGTTTGTAGAGCAGTGCTGTAAAGCGCAGAATTATAGTAGCGTGCTTCACCTGCTTACCTCTGATCCAGCCATGAACTATTCTTCCTTATTCTGGGACCTTGCATGTCTGCATTTCTTTTTTCTATGCCCCGTATTTCCCATACCTTTTCACAGAGTGGCATAAATAAAAGCAATCAATGTCTTCTTTCTGAAGAAATCGAAATTCTTTATGATGATTTCCAAGACCTAAAGGCTTACATAGGATTAAGTGGAAACAGCCCAGACTTTGAATACTGTAGCCTACTAGAGTAGGGGAACCATGAGAAGAACAAACTTTCAAATTTGCCTACCTGTAAAAGGGAGCAGACAAAGGACAGCAGTACCAGAAGATGATAGACTGCTGGGGAAGAGGATGGATCATTCTGGGAGCTAGTAATATGGCAACTAATCACAATCCTGAGTCCTCAGAGAAGAGATACACAGGTGGAAGCTCATCTCCTCCTCTGCTCGGGCCACCATAACCTTTTCCTGTTGGGATGCTTCAGGCAGGCTCTAAGACTGAGGTTTGAGCCAGTAAGAGCTTTTGGATCTCAAAACAGAAGGGACTGTTAGAGATAGGATACACACATAAAAAACTGGCATCAGTAGTTGCCTCTACCTTTTAAGGCAGGCGTCCCCAAACTTTTTACACAGGGGGCCAGTTCACTGTCCCTCAGACCGTTGGAGGGCTGCCACATCCTGTGCTCCTCTCACTGACCACCAGTGAAAGAGGTGCTTCTTCCTGAAATGCAGCAGGGGGGCCAGATAAATGGCCTCAGGGGGCCGAATGCGGCTGTAGTTTGGGGACGCCTGTTTTAAGGTATGTCTGGTTTTTTTTCTTTGAATTCTTTTTAACATGTGCATATATTATGTTCTCACTTAAAGAGAGAAAAACACTAATTTGCATACACTATGATGTCTTATTAGGAAATTTAAGAGTGTATAGGTAACTTTCCTAATAATTTCCTCCAAAATGTCCTTCACTTTGTCTGCAGCACAGTGATAGATTAGATGGATCTTGGGACTGATCCAGTGTGATTTTTCTAAGGTGTTCTCCTGTTATAACCACTGCTTCCAGTCTGTATCTTCTAAAATTTTCTGAATTCCTGTGATAGTAGGTTCAGGAGGAAATAACATTCATTCTGCTTTCCCCACATGATGCCTTTTGTACCTTGAACTGCTCCTCTACTTTAGATCTGTTTTACTAAGCACCAGTGGTCAAGTGACATGATGGAGAGAAATGTACTAAAGTTCTAAAGAAGAGTGTAAGTGATGTCTCTGCAGCATATTCAGATGCCATCAGGAAGCTTCTGTAAGTGAGGGGAGCATCAGGAGGGAGGTGTGGAAGTTGGCAGCACTTTCTGAAAATGGTGTAGTTTGGGAGGCTACTTTCAACTTAGTTTGGATTTTAAATGAATTAAAATGGGCATGCTCAAGTTATGAGCCTTGCCTCATCAGTGCTATAAAAAGCCCTTTAGCCGGGCTGTAATTTGACTCTCCTCTCTAATGTTATGCAATATTCCTATGGTTACAGAGCCCGAATAAGTGGAAGCTAATCATTAGTTTGCTAAATGTGGTTCATGGAACAGTTCACAACTCCCAGACTTGCCAACTGCTGTCTGTTCAGTTTTAGGTTCACTCTTTTTGGGTAGAAGTTGGTTTCTTCCTTAGAAAAATGTACAGTAACATTTGTCTCGCATCCAGGAGCCATGCAGGATGGGAGCTCTCCATGTGTCTTGGGGTGTGGAGGGAAAGAGGTCATGCAAAGCGAAGGTTTTTGATAAGTACTCTTTCGCAGGAAAAAAGCCACCCGGGGAATGCAAGATGACAAAGAGAGACACAAATTAAAGTAGCAGACATTTTGGATACCAGGAAAATCACATTTTGTGAGCTTTTCAGAAATTTGCTGTGATAGAACTCTATGAAATTTACTGTTCTGTGGCCCCAGGATTAAAATTATATTCTTTAACTTCTTCCTTGTTTGTTTCATGTGACAAGAAAGACTTCATTTTATTGCCTAGGGTCACCTGCAACCATCATACAGGTACTGTGCCTTTGGGAGCCACACATTTCATGAGCTGGGGCTCTTTTCTCTCTCATATCCCAATATGTGTCGGGAACACACAGAGAGCAGTAGGTACCAGTTGGATTTGTGCCCCTACCTATTGATTATAGGCTAAATCCTGAAGCCATTCATGAGTATTTGGCCTCTTTGTCTTTGGATGAAAGTGGTTTCTTTCCCAGTAAATAGAAAATGTCTTGTGCCTACCTGTGACTCCTTCTCCTTTTCTAGCTGAAAGGCTGTTGGCCCTGAAAGGCTGTTGGACCTGCTTTCTTCATTGATGCCCCAGAATTATCCCTGGAGACTGTTCAGAAAGATGCAGTCTGGTAGCTGCCTCCCTTTTCCTGTGCATCATTTAGATATCTTTGCGTTGTAAAAAGACAGAAACCTGACCTCACCTGGCTTGAGGGGAAAAAGGAATTTATTGGCTTGCATGATAAGAAGGAAAGGCAAATACAAGGTTCAGTATCCACTATTTCTGCTTATCTCATCTCTGGGTTTGTCAGACTTTCAGGCTCTGTGTGGTGGCACCTGGGAGTTACATAACCTCCCAGTGCAAGCCCAGCAAACAGCAAAATATCTGTTCCTGACTCCTGGAAAAGTTGGGAAAGTTACTCTGATTGGGCAGCCTTACGTCTTGGGCAATCCTTCATCCAGTCGTGGAGTCTGGAGAGATATTATGCTTTTGGCCAGTTTTTCCTGAAGCTCATTCTTCACCCCTGGAAAAAGTAAGAAAAGGGTTGTTCTCCTACTTGAAATGAGGTGCTTTGCAGGAAAAAAAAGGACGGAGAGCTGGCGGGCAAAGAACTAGTCGTTAGTCAGTTTAAGAGAGTTGGACTCTCCCTCCTGTGCACTGAAAGACTCTTTGACCCTCCCACCGGTACATGTGTGACCTGGCCTGCCTCACCAGGGACAGGATGGGGATCTGTGAAGCCATTACACCCCCCAGTCTCTGCCTCTTATTCTCACCTCCTTGTGTGTTACTCAGGAAGACTACAGGAATCACCTCTCCTTGTTCTTTTATTATACATGCTTGTTTAAAATAAACTGACTTGTTTCAAAGTCCATACAAGAAGAGACAAAAGAAATTATCAGGAGCGAATATAGTTATGGTGGTTCTCATTGCACATTTGAGCTTAAGAAATATGAAAGTAATGGAATAAAATCATAGTTTAGAAAATATAAAAACCACAGTCCGCCACTTTGACCCAACCACCAATTTAGAGTATTTCCTTTCAGCCTTATTCATATAAAAAGTTTATAGAAAAAGTTTCTCACAAACATATCTTGATTTTTTATTTGACATTATATAATACAGGCATTTTCCATATTGCTTTGCAGTTACCGTTGTCATAGAAATTGGCAAGGTGATATTTCATCAGGTAGACATACTGTAACTCACTTACCCATTCTTCTGTCACTGGACATTTAGGTTGTCTCCTTTGTTTGTTTTTTCTGCTGTTATAAAGAAGAGTGTATGCTGAACATTTCTGGGGTCTGTAACTTTTCTCGTGCCTCATCTTACTTTCTGAGGACAGGTTGGGGGAAATGGTTGGAAGGATGTAAGCATTTTTAAGACTTTGATACATATTGCCAAATTGCTTCTCAAAACAGTTGCATTTATCTCTCCTGCTGCCAGCAGGATAGGAGAGGATAGTTTCTCTCATTCTTACCAGCAAATAGATATTGGGATTTTTAAACATTTTCCTAATTTCATAGGTAAAAAATAATACTTAGCGTTTTTGTTTTACTTTGCATTTCTCTATTACTAGCAAGATTGGATGCCTTTATGTGTGCTTATTTATTCGTTCCATTTTATGCTCTGCTTTATTTATTGTCTTTTCTTCATTGTAGACCCCAAGACCGCTTCTGAGACAGAAACAGATATCTGTGCTGAATGGGAGATAAAGACCATCACTAGTGCTCTGAAGACCTACCTAAGGTAGGGACTTTCCACTTGCAAGGCGGAGTGCCAGCTAGTTATCATGCAATCAGGAAGAAAGCAGTTTTATTTTCAGACTCCAGAGAGCTGTTGGGTGGGTGTTTGAGATGTGGAAACAGCTTCTGTGTGGGTGCGTTTAGCTCAGCTGGTCAAACGATTGTAAGTCATCCATAGTTGATGGGTTGCCTTTGTGCCATGACACCATGAGCGATTTAGGAAACTTGGTTCTATATGAGAAGTATAATGATAATTAGCCTTGAACAGAACCTGAAATGGAGTCTTCTCTGAAGTCCCTGAATAATCTGTTAAGAACACAAGGAATCATGGATTTCTGTTAAGAATGCGTGATTGCATACCCCATGTATTTTGATAGTTTCACACTTTACGCAGAGTACATTGCTGACAATGGTTCTTAAAAACAAGAACTTAATGGAACTCCTTTTTGACTCTTTTCACGTGTATTGGACAATATTATCTCCCTGGAGAGACTATTTTCCTTGTATCATTTATATATGATATTACTGCACCCTCTCTACGCCTCCTTTCATTATTAAGGGTTGGGTTATTGACCAGCTGCCTGCACCTTAGTTTCATGAATAAACCAAAATACTTATACCGGACTTGAAGGACAGGAATACCATAGTTCTTCTTACAGAAAAAGGTGGGACCTAGTCTTCAAAAGAGAGGAGAATGGTAATCAGAAATTGTATAAGTCTTCGTGTGGGCTTTTTGAAGATGCAATTGGCTGAAAAGCAAAGGAGGGAGGCCACAGAAAAGGAATTGCTGGCATAGGTTTTATTGGCTATGGGGTAATTGGAGTCAGGAGTGAGATACAATGTAAGTGTTAACTAAAACTGGGAGTGGAATTAAGGGGCCCAGTGAGAATAAAATCTGAGCCAAAAATAATGTATAGTCTACTGAGAAGTTTCTTATTTGAACTATCAGAAAAAAACCTCAAGTTTATAGTTAAACATACTCATACCCCAGCAGGTAAAATTTGCTTATATCATACCTAATGTTAGGGGTTCTAGCCCTTTAGCATTCTGGAGCAATACTCCATAGTGAATTCACCACCAAAGTACACAAAAGTCTTTTTTAGTGTTTCTAGATGAATTGATTTTAGCTCAAGCTGCTGGGAAGATGAGAGTTTGAGCACAAGTACTTGCAAATATGTAGTTAGTTGCCTGTTTCACAGACATATCTTAAAACGCTGTTGTTGATAGGTGAGTCACTGACTCAAAAGGAAATCTCTTAGTTTGTGTTAGACTCTTGCATTAGCACTATTTTAGTGTTGACAGTAAAACATAGTTGTATCCATTCCTTTAAAAAAGAGAGAGAATAAAAGTTGTGGGTGAAATCTCAGAACCCCTGCCATAGGGAAACTAAATTAAGTTGTTATTGTTTCCTTGTGATGTTTGTCTTTGAGAAATGTAATATAGTTTGTCAGTCTCTAGGCTGCTATTTAGAGAGAATATGATAACTTTTTTATTAAGCTGACTAGCCTATCTCCTTTTACTCCAGAATGCTTCCTGGACCACTCATGATGTACCAGTTTCAAAGAAGTTTCATCAAAGCAGCAAGTAAGACTTTTTTTGTCTCAGTTTTAAGAGGAGGAGAATAGATTTTTCTATTTCGAAGAAGAGTCAGTATCCCAAAATAAATATTACCTAATCCTTCATGTTCTGCATGTAAACTGGCCACATAACATACTCATGAGATTATAAGATGGAAGAAAAATGAAACCAAATAGGGATTGCTAAGGGCCTTTCAACCACATTGAACTTACAGTAGAGGAGAGAAACTTCAGAAGTCTTTTTTTTTTTTTTTTTTTTTTTTTTTTGGAGGGGAGGAGGATGTTGGAGGGATAGAGAAAAACAAGTTTGCCTTTCTAGTTTTGATTATTGGAGTTCTAACTTCTTAGGTTTTTTCCAGCCTTTGAGTAGCATTTTGCAGAATGAATCAGACATTGCACATTACCTAAATTGAGCATTGGAAATGTTTCCCTGAATATGACACCATTTATGTAACTTCATAGTCCTCTTTTCCATTATGTCTTCCATTTACAGCTTCTGATCATTCTTCAACTATATCATCCAGGTTCCCTAGCGTCATATTACTGGTATTAAAATACATAGGGATTAGGTCCAAGCTACTCTAAGTATGCTAGAATCTCTGGCGACATGGGTCAGGCCTCTTGTAAAGGGGCAGAAAGATTTTCTATCAGATTTAAATCCGGCATGAAGCTTCACAGTATTATGATGTCAGTAACTTGTGCCTCTCCCAGGTTCCCTTTAGGCTTTAGAATTTATTTACCCTGGTAGCTACGACTGGCCTAATTTAGTAGGTACCTAATGTTCTTGTGTCCTTATCTACTCATAGTTGTCCCCTTAAAACAGGAAAGAGAAAGCTGCGAGTGAAGATGGTGTTTATGTCATTTCTTTCTCTAGAAATTACAAACCTATAGCAACCATTCTCTGCTTAAACCTCACAGCAGTCCTATAAATAGGTGTGATGAGTACCCTCAATCTGTTTGCCAGAGAAACAAAGCCACTTACCCAGGTTCAACCAAGAGAATGTGACAAGCCATGATTTAGGTTACAAGTTGGCAGAAAGACTTGAACATTTTATCTGCCATTACTTTCTTTCTAGCAGGCTGGTTGTCATACGTGATTGGAGGATACTGGACATTTCCTTTGATTTCTTTGATGCTGTCTTGAGGTGTTATTTTGATATTTGAAACCCTTGCAATGTTGTTCACGTAAGATTTGTTTATCACTTTACAAGTGCATAAAGTTCCTTACTTCCTTGAAATGAAGTCTTCCCTCAAGGGAGCCAGCTACTCTTGGGTTCGTTCTCAGGAGCAGCTCTGGGTTTGCAGTTGACTGGCTCCATTTCATCACGTCATCATCTTGGCTTGAATTTTTTGATGACAGTTCTTTTTGGCAACCCTTTTCCAGAAAGCACCATTAAAAGGACTTCCAGATCTAGTCATGCTGGCCACGCAGAGTGCACACAAGACAGGATCGTAAATCTTTCAGAATCCTTGGTCTGTTAGTACCCATCCTTTGGTTTCCCTTGATTTTTCATCCTTAAAGTCATTTAGCTATGACATTGATAAAATATTACCTCCCTCCTTCCTTCACAGAACTAGAGAACCAGGAGTCTCGGGTCTCTGAAATCCACAGCCTTGTTCATCGGCTCCCAGAGAAAAATCGGCAGATGTTACAGCTGCTCATGAACCACTTGGCAAAGTAGGTTTAAGACCAATTACCAGCCCTTTTCTTATCCCTGAAAGTTCTTATCTTAGCAGTGAAGCTGGTCTCAGTTCTGCTTTTGTTTCTCTCTCCCGCTATTGCATCAGGTATGCCGGAGGCTTAGGAGAGAAATGTGTGAAATGTTAATTGCAGTGGAGAACAGCAGCAAATGCCAGATGGCCTTCCCAGAGGAGCCTGGGGAAGTGCTCATGCAACCAGGCCACCAAGCACAGTTTTCAGGGGGATTTGGCCCTGTGATGATCAAGGACAAACTAGAGTGTGTTGTCCATGATGCCAGGTCACCACACAGAGTTTCGGGGGATTATATGTTCTTATGCTCATCAGGAACAAACACAAATATGTTGTGGGTTTACAGAATTTGGGTTTTTAGTAAGGAGGCGTGGATTCTAGAGCTGACTCCGTTATTAACATGCTGCTTAATCAGCCCTGAACAAACTACTGAACTTTCTACTCCTTAGTTTGCCCGTCTATCTAATATGGATAATAGACGCCCTTTTTTCTCCAAGGCCATTGATTTTTAAAGTTACATGCATTAAAGCCTTTGAAGAAGTATAAAGAATAAAGGAATTATTTTTGGCAAATACTCACTTGTCCTCTGAGATAATCAAAGCATTCAGTAGGGGCCTGATTTTCTGCTAGGAGTATTTACAGTCTCATAATGGCTTCGAATATTTGTGTATTTACTGTTGCTTGACCCTGTTACAAATGGCATTGCTGATTTCCCATGCTGTGTTTGTCACCACTTGTGTGTGCGTTCTAACCTGCCATTGACTTTGATGGTATGGTCTTGATTGCAGACTGGAGCACAAGAAAAGAATGAGAGCATACCAGTTAACCTAAATTATTAATCCCTGCATTCTACTGAACTGTTGTGTTATAAATTTGGCCCTTATCCACATTTTGCTATGCCATTAGGGTATTTCTTGGGGCTAAGTTGATATTCTCCTGAGGGAGATTGTGATGGTTAGTTTTCATCTTTCTGTCAAGCACTTGATATTACCTTTGGGAAAAGAGTGATACATATCATGAAGATTTCCACCATTTCCTCATTTCCATGAAGAAACAGGAGTGTTTTTTGTGTTATTGGGAAGCAATTCGGCAAAGCCACGGTTACTCCATTATTGACCAATTTTTTTTCTTGCCTTGCCATATCAGGGCTGCGTGTTCAGGAATACTTAGAAAGCATAGCAGGCAATATCCATGTTTACAGGAGAATGCCCCGAAGATGTCTAAGAATCCTGATGAAGCGTGTTTAAAATCATGGGAACTGGGCTTTAAAAGTAACTCCAGATGCTCTGAGATGACAGTTTGGTACCAGTTCCACACAACCCAGAGTTGGGCATTTGTTAAGCAGAGAAGCTGGTTTAGATCTTAGTTGCAAAACTTTGCACACTTGAAGGGCAAACACCAAGACACAGGAGGTTCCAGGTGTACCCTCCAGCCTAGTATGTGTGGGGGTGCTCAGGACTGCTTCATGGCTGCTGGGTCTTAAAGAGGCCTTCAGGCCTGCAGAGAACAGCTGGAGAAGGTTAGAAACCATCTAAAAGCCATGGGCCTTTTCAAGCTGTGCAATTAGAAAGAGAGCTTAATTGAACTGCACAGACCAAAAGTGAATGGTGGTCCAGCAGAGCCAGTGTTGCGTTTTTGCTATTTTTAAATTTCCTTTAGGATTGTTAGGATTCTTTGAAGAAGAAGGAAAAAAGCATCAAAACAAACCCTTTAAGGTAGATGTTGAACAGCTGAACTTGTTTCATCTCGTGGTGGATGGCTCACTTTCCCCTCCTTTGCCCCTCCAATCCCATTACTTTCAGTCCTTCCTTGTTACTGACCTAAGAGTTGTAAACTGGAATTTGCAAATTACAGCTGTGACCTTGACCCTTTTTTTTTTTTTTTTCTTTTGGCTTTCTAGCCAATTTAAAGCAATTTTATTGCTGGAGTTGTTTACTTCATAGCAGTTCTCAAGCATTATGTCTTATCTTTGAAACTTGAGAATGATTTTCTGTGGTTTTATGGCATTTCTTGTTCATTTAATTATCAAGAAATCTGCCTATAGACAACCTCTCATGCTGTAATGTGAGTTGGTTAGAGCTAGTAATAGACTGTAGCAGACTCAATGCTTAGCGTGCTGTGTTCTTGGTCTCCCGAGCCTCTATATTTAAAATGTCCCTGTGGAGAAGGATATGAATGAGCAGTGTTGAATTCAATAAAGAGAATTTATTTGGGTCTGAAAAAATTATTTGGCATCCAGAGGAATTCTAAGATTCCACTTAAACTTTATATTCTCATTTACAGCACTGTCCTTATTTTAACATCGAGCAGTAAGAGAAAGTTAACTTGGGACAACAGGTTTGTCTAATTCCAGTTTTCTCAGGTTTGAACTTAACCCTAGGATACGCCTGAGCTATTGTTCCTCTGGGCCACTTACTTAATGGTCAGCTTCCTTCCTAAGTTTTGGTTTCAGAGCTGATTCTGCTGGAAAATCTGGTGTTTACTTCTCTCATTACCCACTGTTTGCCTTGTGCAGCTCAGAATTCTGGTTCAAAGGCAAGACATTTTGTATTGTATATTTTTTAAAGTACTCTTTTGAAACATTTTCCAAAATTGATTTCCCTTAGCCACAGAGGGAGAATTAAGGCATTTTATATTTAATCCCAGCTAAAAATTCATTCAGACGGGAAAAGAGTCTTGGGTAGGGGGAAGGATAAAAACCTCCAAACCTCTAAAGCAAATGAATACCAGGGTACATTCAAATCATAGAGATGTTGGATTTGTTTCAGACCTCAGAGGGAACACAAAAATTATAGGCAACCATGCACATATTTTTGTAGTTTTGGCTTAAATGTACTATGATAATTAGATGTTTTCTGTTTGGATCTTGGAATCTAGTATACAGTCTGGAGTCATGTGCCTCAAAGCATGGTTAGCATCACCTGGGGTGCTTGTTTACATTGACATTTCTGGGCTCTGTGGGTCTACTCAGGCTCTCTTCCTGGGAATCTGCATTTCTGATTTATTTCCCAGGTAATTATTATGAGAGCAGTATTTTAAAAACCACTGGCCTAGAGAATGGGCCACATGCAAGGATTTCCTAGGAGAGAGAAATGATATTGAGAAGAATATGGATTGGGATGTAGGTGAATATTAGATTTAGAAAGAAGCAGCTCAAAGCAGTGAGTTCGAAAGGGAGATTTTATTGTCATGATTAAATTAGCTTTTAAAAAATCCAGTTTTGACTTTCCAACTCTTTGCAATTTAACTTTGCATTGAGTTTTCAACAAATGTTTTGTTTTAAAATCAGGCAAAAGGCATTTTTACTTATGAAAAGCATCATCCTCAGCTAGCTGTGGGTCCTTGAGCCAATTTTTCTACCTCTTTGAGCCTCAATTTTCTTTCTCCTCCAATTGTATAATTCTGTGTTTTCATCAGATGGAGCAGGGCACAAGAAAAGTATCCCACTCTTAGAATCATCAGAGGAAATAAGAGTAGATGAGTAATAAAGACTAATTTCATGGTAGTTTCCTAATGTTTACATATTATGACTCCAAGTATTTTGTATATCCCCACACATACCATTCCTAGTGGCTCATTGTAGCTTCATTACGGTGTTTATGCAGTGAGGAAGGATTTCAAAGAACTCTCCATACATCAGGAGTAGATATTAAAAATATCTTTTCACAGCTGGTTTTCCCAAAATACTTATTGAGAAATAAACCTTAGTCTCTTTTCTTTTTTGGAGCAACTGTTCCTTTGTTGCAGGGTTGTTGGAGAGCAGAGCACTGTCATGCTTCCGCAGAGAGATACGGTATCATTTAGGTTGCTTTGAGCTGCAAATAAAAGAAAAGCCGATTCAAAATGGCTTAAATAATAAGAAGACCTGTTGTGTCATGACACAGAATCCATCCTGAGAGTTGGTTAGCTTCTCAGCTCATGAAGGAGTCAGGTTATTTCCACGTTCCTGCTTGGCCAGTGTCTTGTGTTGACTAGCTCCCTGCAGAGTTCCAACATAGTGCACTGTGTCCTTGCATGTTAGTGCGTGTCCAGAGGGAGAAAAGGCACTATTTCTTCTTTGAGTCTCTTTTTAAGGGCTAGGATGATGCTTTTCCCAGACATTCTCCAACACACTTTATGTCACATCTCATTGGTCCACAACAGTCACTGCGGACCACCATGATTATTTTCCACCCAACAGGGTTTATCTGAACCACTTGTGGGAGGCTTGGACATCAGAATAAAGACAGAGCTTTGAGTAACCAGCCCACAGTGTCTACTGCAAGTAGTCTTGGTAAATCGCATTCAACAGAGAGTATTAAGTCTTATTGCATAGTGTGCTAACTCAATCAAGATATATGAGACAGAGACCAGTTTGGGGAGGAGAGTTGAGTACATCTACAGTGTGGGCACATAAGCACTAAATTACAAGATTTTAGGGGGTCGAAGGTAAAAGAGGGTAACGAAGAGGGCATACTCCATTGCCTCTTGCTGATTCCCTATTTGTTCTTTTCATTACCCAACTGTCTAATGTTTATTTTGATCATCTGTTACATGTTGTGACTTTCCAAAATGGAAAAAATTACGTAGATCACTGGGATTATGAAGGAATATTGTAGAGAAAATGCTTGGCATACAAGCGAGACCTTATCAAAATATAGAGACTCTGCTGGCAGAAATTATCAAGGACTGAGCATGTTGTAGCTTGGGTTTTGTTGTTGTTGTTGTTGTTGTTGTTGTTGTTGTTTTCATTTCTGTGACTACAGTCTGAGTACTTCCAAGCATTCCTGCAAATCAAAAAGGAAATATTCGTATTTCTTTAAGTGATCTAGAAACAGTGAATGAGGTTCATGTACAAATGCCTGTGGTTATAAAGAAAGTCATTGCCAAGCATTGACACCAAAGAAGATGAGCCCTAGTGATTCATTAGCATTCCCTGAAGTTCTTAAGAAGGGTTCAGAATAAAAGGAAGTGAACATTGAGACCTG